CTTTCACTAGTAGCAATACAAAGTAAGTCAACAAAAATCTGTGAAATTTTGGGGAAAAAAAGCATTGACCATTCTCTGGTATTTAGTATTTTTTTTTAAATTTTATGAATTTCCGTCCATAATCCTCATCACAAAAAGTTTAATAAGCATGCCTATATTTTAAAACATTTTGTATCCCAAAATATTGCACAGTCACATGAATAATTACTTTTTACAAATAGCCTATTTGCTACTTTTTTAAAATGTGTCTACTGTGTAGGATAGTGGATTTAGAATCTGAATGTTTTCTCTTGCTGAAATACAAAACATCCAGTTATGCAATACTGAAAAATATTTGGATCTAATCAGACCTAATAAAAACCATCTTTATTATCCATAAATTAATCTTAGCCTCTCCAGAAAAAAAAAAAAAAAAGCAAAAAAAAAAAAAGCAGAAAGGAGAGGAAACAAGGGAAGAGATGATCTAAAAGTTCTTTTGTTGTTTGCATTTGTTTCTATTATTTACAGATTTAGTTTAGGTTTTCCCCTCGTGCATGTTTTCTTTCAGACATAGAACTTCCTAGTATAAGTGCTCATGGAAAACTAACTCCTAGCAAGTGTGCACTGAATACTATCTTCATATTTATTAGTGCAGTTGATTAAAACGTATAAATCAACACTGAACTATAATGATTTTACAGTACCATAATGGAAAGTACCTTCTCTGTGATAGTTTTAGAGAGGAGCAATGTGTAAGCTGCATTCCATTTTGTCAATGAGAGCCCCTTGGAGTCACTTTTGAAAGAGAGATATAAACTGTGCCCATTCCTTCCACCTCCTGTAGTGGCTAACATTCATACATAAGCACACTTATGGGACAGGCAGGTTAATTTACTCTGAACTATGCTGATGTCTCCTCCTTCTCTAACTCAGACATGTGCAAAAGTAACCCAGATTTCTGTTTCACTTAGTTTCCTAAGGAGTGAAAACATGGTGAAGGTAGTTTTCTGGGGACCAATTACTTTTAACACAGGATATTTACAGGTTTGAACATAAAGTATTTTATTAGAGAAAATGCGAATTGAAAATTACTGTTTGGAGTCTACTATCATTAACAGTCACTGTTTCTGTTCAGCTAAACATGCCCACAAAGAAGGTTGTAACTACATTTTATTGTGGAAATACCTGGTCTCCTACAAATGTTGGGTGAATTTCCATTGGGGCTTTATGCTGTATTTATGATATAATAAAACTATTAGGTTTTCAACTTTCATTTAATAATCCTTTGTATTTATACACAGGGAACATACTCCCTTTTTATACGAAAGACGTCCCAGACACTCTCTGACTTTTATAAGTGCTTATTTTTCCATGACTCTATGATGTGTTTATATGTACAGCCATAAAAGATTGACTTAGGATTTCAAGTCCTTCAAGAGGATTTTGATGACCTTTTTTTAAGTGATCTGTGCTTTCAGGGTTCTTTTAACTACTTTTAAATGAAGGAAATAAGATGTTTCAGATTGTAATGAAGTATATTTTGCAGAGAAGCACAAAGTAAACAAATGTATTTTCTAACCAAAGAAAACAAACTAAATGACTTCCAGAGAAACCTTTCCTTTGGATATTTTAATGCTGACATCAGTAGCATTTATAAGCTATCAGACATTTAAAGTAGTTGTTTCCATTTGTGTATGTCATTTGTATATGTTTATTGGAAAAGCTTCCCTTCCTTTTCAGAACTAAACATCTCTTGGAGGCACCTAATCACACAAATTCATTCTGAATTTAAAAAAATAATAGAAGTATAAGGTTTACACTCAGGTATCCTTAATACTTTGTAATACCTTCTTCACAGGTCAGGCTATTGAAACAATGCTTAATCACTGAGCAGGATACTACTCAACCTAGTAGTAGAAAGAGCATCAGAACATTATCCTAACAGTGATAACAGTCACAGAAAAAAGTATTCTTTTCTAGAAAATGAAACATTAGATATCAATATAAAAACTTGACATTTGACATACACTTAAGTCATGAATTGCAGAAGGCAAACATAATGCCTAAACCCATCAAATATGTAATGAGATTGTTGTTCAAACGATGAGAGCAGACATTACCAAACAACACAGAGAAAGGTCAAAGAAACAATGGTATCAACAAACTTGCAAATCAGTTCAGCAAAAACTAGTTTAACACAGCAATTTAAATAAACACATGGTAGAAAATACAGGATTTTTATGTTTTCCTTTAAATGCTTGCTTCCACTACTTGCTGAACAAAAATACTGAATTGCCAGCTGAGATAAACTTTGCATTATTTTGCTTAATTATCACAAACATGTGTTCACCAACAAAGCCAAAAATACATCAAAATAAAACCTAGCTCGAGTTTCCATTTTGGAAGCTGAATCTTTTGGATTAGGAAGTACAGCATTACTTGGACAATCCTCTAATTTTTTTCCCATACTACTGACATTACAGTTTACTTCTCAGAAGTGGTATAAATCCACATACATACAAATTGCTGGTTTGATAATTTCTTTCTGCCCTTCTACTTTCCCTCCAATGTCCTGCTCCCAGTTCATCTGCTTGTTGCAACTTCTCAGAATTCCCTCACAGAGGTATTCAAGACAATTTCTGAGGCTCATTAGTGGCTTTGGTACAAACCTCTTGAGGAAAAGCAGTATTTGATGCAAGCATCAGCAAATAGCATAAGATGGGTAGATTTTATATTTACTCCAGAAGAGTAAATGAGCTCATAATTTTGAAATGAGGGTATGGGATGCTGATTTTTGTTTTGCTGATTGTTCGTTTGTTTGAAGATGGAACTTACCTTTTTCAACTGTGCTTCCAACTTACTACACTCTTCTTTCTTTTGTTCTATGGCTATTTCTAAAGACTTAAGTTTGGAGTCTCTTTTCAGCCCTGCTGATGCCAATGAAGATGCATGTTCTTTGAGATCGATTAAACTAGACTGGAAAATGACCAAGAGTAAAAAGTTAATTCCTAGACACTAACTTATTGCCAACTTAGCAATCGCTTGGATCCTGTTCCCCCTCCCCTTCCCAAAGAAGAGTTGATGCAAAGATAAGCACTGATAGCAAAAGACACTACTTTGAGAATACAACCAGCTAGAACCACAGGAGCTGGCATGCAGTGAAACACAAAAACATTCATAATAAAGACAAGCTGACATCATAATCTGGAGGTACAAACACTTTGAAATCTATTGCTCGAACTGACAAATGAAAACAGGAGCAACAATGGAATATTTGAGCCTAATGGAGGCTTAGGTAAAGGACAAAGTAGAGATAATGACACACAACTATGCAAAAATCAATACAATATTTTGTGTACAAATGAGGACTGTGAAGAATGCTTAAGAAAACAGCAGTTCAGAAGCTAACCACTGAAGTGGCAAAATTTCAGTGCTTCAAATGATTCAAGAATAATCCTAATGCACTTTCTTTCATCATAATGGCATAGATAGAAAAGCAGAGATTTTATGAAAAGACTGACCTCTTTTTCTGTCAGTTCAGCTTGTAAAGCATTAACTTTCTCCTTCAGGTCTTTGTTTTCTTTTTTATAAGATTCAATTTCTTCAAGTCTCTCTCTGTCATCTCGCTCCCTTTGCTCCTTCAGACGCTCAATTATTCTTTCCTAACAAGGGAAATGGAAAAGTTGGGAAACATTTTAAGAAAAGACAAAATAAAACTACTTTACATTATGTAGCATTTAGTAAAAACAATCTTCAGAAGCAGAGGATGATTGAGTTAATGGTATTAAAGTCAATACAACATTTCTCTGGATTAATAAAGAAATCCTAAAATCAAGGTAAGAGCAACACACCACAGAAACTTCACTAAAGATCTATACTGATATATGTTCAGTCTCGTGATGGATATGGAAAGCTATTCATCTCAGAAATGTATTTGCTGTACTTATAAGCCATTGAAATCTTGAATGAAAGTTCCAAAGAGGCCATGACTAGTTTACTCAGAGAGGCCATGACTGGTTTACTCAACTTAGATTTTGTTATGTAGCCTCTACAGTGCTTTCAATAAGTTGTCCAGGTTCCAAATCAATCCCTCACTGACTATGAGTAACCTACAGTTTCCATGTATTATATTTTGAGAGGACAAAAAAAAAGTTGTCCAAGACATAAAAAAAGTACTCTGATACAATTCAGGAAAACCAAAGGAAGATTATTCTTTGTGTGATTAACAGTAACACACATTTAAACTCAACTGTGTTTTCAAATAATTTGCTGACTTCTAATTACTATTATAAGTTTTGCTGAAAATCACCAGTCATGGAATAGGTGATGAATTCAAAGGATGAAATGTAAAAAGCAGATGCAGTAATATGTTTTTGTTAAGCTTTGATTACATTCTTCAAAATTACATTCTACCAATACTTGAAGGATGCAAATACTAATCAGAGAGAAATATTTAGGGTACAATAAAATAACCACTAGAATCACATTTGAATTTGCAAGAGGTCATTTGAAGCAAAGCATCAGGGGAACTACTAGTATTATTCTGGCAGTGGTAGTTAAGGGGGCAGTGGAAGCAACATCATTTAGGAAAATTAAACCCACACAGGACAAAACTACATACTGACTGATGAAGTTCTACACTGAAGTGGTGTGGTTCAGGTAGAACCATCAGCATGCTTGACATTCTTGTCTCTGAACTGGAGAGACATGGATTTGACAAATGGAACACCCAGTGGATAAGGAATTAGCTGGATGGTTGCACTCGAAGCATTGATGTCAACAGCTCCATGTCCAAGTGAGACCAGTAATGAGTGGCATCCTCCAGGGATTGCTATTGGGACTAACACTGTGTGATATCTTTGTCAGTGACATGGACAGTGGGATCAAGTGCACCCTCAGCAAGTTTGCCAGTGACACCAAGCCATGTGGTGCAGTCGACATGCTGGAGGGAAGGGATGCATCTAAAGGGACCTGACAGGCTTGGGAGATGGACAAGTGCAAGATCCTGCACCTGTGCCAGGGCAAGCACACGCACAAGTATAGGCTGGGCAGAGAAAGGATGGAGAGCAGCCCTGAGGAGAAACACTTGGATGTGTACATTGACAAAAAGTTCAACATGACACAACAATGTGCACTCACAGTCCACAAAGCCAACTGTGTCCTGGGCTACATCAAAAGCAGCAGGAGCAGCAGTTTGAGGGAGGTGATTCTGCAGCTCTGTTCTGCTCTGGTGAGATCCCACCTGGAGGAGTACTGAGTGCGTCCAGCTCTGGGGCCCCCAGCATAAGGGCAAGGATGGGTTGGAGAGAGTCCTGAAGATGATCTGAGGGCTGTAGCAGCCTTGTCTAGTGAAAAGTGTCCATGCCCACAGCAAAGGAGGTTGGAACTAGATGACCTTTAAGGTCCCTTCCAACCCAAACCCTTCTATGATTCTATGGGATACTAAATAACTTCAAGTTTATTCCTTGTAACAAATAATATAAATCCTTAATCCACTGAATATTGACATTTAAATGCCAGCCTCCACTAAGCAGAACAGTTTAATAACCATTCAGATTCCACCTAGTTCTAGTCAGGCTTAATTTTATATCAATTCCTTCTTGAAGATTTATTTACCCAAATGATTTTTTCATCTATAACAAATTAAACATAACACTATTTCATCTTATTAATGAACAGCATACATTTTGCTCTTAGTCAATCACAAAAGAAGACTAATTTATCTGTCAGCTGCATAAGGCTAAATGTCAAAAACGTGTTAAAAGGCCCTAATATACCATGTTTTGCTTGATTAACAGCTAACTTGCAGAAATCCCAACAATATGTTCTTGTTTCAGTCTTATTTGCATTGGCAAGCTTTCCTTATGCACTAATCTGGGACCTCACAGGTCTAATCTATTTGCACTTTATCACAGAAGCAGGAACTGAATTGCCACAGCATATAGCTCTATTATCAGACATACTCCATTGCTTATCTGTGTATGCTGCTACATTAGGACCAACTTTATAAATATCAGCTTCATGAAAGCAACCTCTTGAGCTGCTTTGGGCCAGTCCAAGAGCTGAGATACTCTTTGAAAAGTTTCTTGTTATAACATCAAGGAAGCTGATAGCACTTTTGCGCAGTGTGATTTTCAAACTTTTTTTTTTATTGCAATGTAACCCTTATTGTTAAGTATTTTCAGTGCTTGGGAGAGGCTCTGAACTTAAGGTTAAAGAATTTAATTACTATGTTTTGCAGTTTAGTTCTAAAATGGACTCAAATATGACTGAAGTTGATTTGTTTCTGATTCTTGACAAGAGGGAACATCATACCAGCAATACTGTCAGAAAAAATAAGAGGAGTCCATTTCAGGAAAATCTGATGCTGTTTAATGATGTCTACATTATTTTCTCATTTATTGTTACCATGATACCTAATGGCTAAAGATGAAAGAAAAAAGAAAAACAGACACTTAGAAACACCTATTTCCATGAAGAATAAGGACACATATTTCCCAATTCAGAGCCAAACTTTCATCTGAGTATTTTGAAGAATACTGCAGGAAAAAGATAAATTCTCAAACATTTGAATTTTGGACTTTAAAATAGCTTCATAATTCATTCATATCATATGATCATATGTTTTAATTTGGTTTTCTTCCCATGTAAACTAAGAAAAGCAATTCAATTAGATTTCAGTGAATTGTGGTTAACTCATATAAATAAATTTTACTTCTGTTTTAAAAGAGTTTCCCATTATGCTCTTGAAGTATTTTATCCATTATTTTCAAATTAAACTAGAAACTATTGAACAGATGACAATTTAAGATAAAGCCAAAAACTGTGCCTAACCTCAGAGTATAAAACAACATGACACAGCTGCAAAGTAGGCCTGATAAAATTTCTAGAAAAAATACCCCAAACAAAACACACAATGTATTTCCATGGAAATCAGGTATTCTTAAGTGAAAGCATCATCCTTCCTTGATACGCATTCAATTGATAAAAGTAAAATTGATGCACTTGTTAATAAAAAAATCACTAAGAGTTCTTGTTTTGTCCCATTTGGACAAAATTCTATATTTCTACCAGTATTTGCAGTGGAAATAGTTAATAACAATTGATAAATTCTGTAGGTCTTAAGTATGCTACTGCAGATAGGAATAGGGATAAGAAAGTTACTGAGAGCAGCTAGAATGAATCAGAAAGCTGGACACAAAAAGGAGTGAGACATACGTAAAGATACACTATCAAAGTATTTAACTGCCAGAACACAGAAAACAGGTAGGCATAATAGCTCATTTGGAACTTCTAGAAGATGCCTACTGGCATGTGTAAGCACATCCCAGAGATCACAGTAAACATTAAAAAAACTACTCTTCAAAGTGTGGTCTTACAATGGGAAAGAAATTGTACATGATTTCTCTGTAGAATAATCAAAATTTATTGATTTTGTTTAATATACTAATCATTCCTCACCTGCAAAAAATACTTTCCAGTAGCACACAATGATCACACATTAAAAGTTAAAAGCTCATTGGTAAAAAGCTATTACTTAAATAACTCCTTGTATCTTTTCCTTAGATTACCAAAGTAGTATAGAATGATCAGCACACCACTAACATATAGAGAACCTCTCTTTATAGACTGTCACTCAACTTCTGTAAGTAACAATCTCTCCACAACTGATTAAAACAGTCACCAGAAACCATGGCACTACTCAGCTTTGTGCCACCTCTCAAAACTATTGGTTTGCAAACGATTCCATTGCCCTGAGCAGCTGCAAAAAACCCAGAAATCTCTGTGGCAGAGGAAAACACCCCGTGGTATTCATTGTAGATGTGTCAGAGCAGCCTGCAAACACTGCAGGAACAATGCCATTCCCAGCTGGCTGCATGTAAGCAAAGTGACTACTTGGTACAGAATTCAGCCTCAGGGACCCCATGTGAGTTCCAACCAATTCCTCTTGGAAAATTCACTAATCACGTGGATTCTTTTAAAAATTGTCAGTTCATATATGCACGCAGTTCCAAATGAAGTAGACTTGAACTGCTAAAACACATTTCAGAGAAAGATCTATGTTTTACCAATTTTTCTAAAACATTAAAGCTAGCCTCATTTACTGGATTTGAATCTTTATTTCAGGAATCAAATAAATCTTGATGCAAAATTTCCAACCCAACAGGGTCTCTAATGTTGTCACATTTCAAGTTAAAATATATATTAAGAAATTTTATAGTGCAACTTTTAAACTATGATATTAAAAAATAATGTGTCCTGAGTTTAGGAAAATTTTACTATTTTTATATCTGACAATAATAGCATATTTTCAGATACATAGAAAACTTCATAATTATAAATGCTTTTACATTTACTTATTAGTTTACATGTATCTCAACTGATTTTAGAATGGTATTGGTACAAAATGGACTTGAAAACAATTAATAACTAGGGCTAAGTAATTAGGGTTAAGTTTTTACCCAGTACTTCTTAATCTTTTATGTTTGTGACAGTGAGAAAACAGTTACACATGATATATTCAATACTTCCACACCACCTACCTCTACTACAAACTCTGGCAAACTGTCATTAATTTAGTATTTTTAACAGAGAAATAACATTACAATTGGAGACAGATTGCAACTTAGCAAATGACCACAGCTAAGAAATATTGCATAAGTGCATTTCCTCTGAAGTGCTGCAGATGCAGCTGAAGCAGAAAATGGGATGCAAGATTTCTTTGCTTTTAACAATCTACTTCATGCTCAGTTGCACAGGAGAACTGGGAAGTTTGCAGTGTGACAGTCACTCTGCTTTCCACATTGACAACTGTAGCACGAGGGTGAAAGTAGTGTTTTAAACTCTGCACTGCTTCTATGGGCATTTTGAGAAAGTGACAAATCCAGAAAAGAGAGTTTACATGGAGCAAAAAAATCACATACAAAAGTACTTTGTGTCATTTTTTAATAATATGCTGTGATATTGATGAGCACTGTGTCCAGCTTAGTAGTGAAAGATTACAAAATATGTGTTGCTTTACTGTATAAATTCTGTGTGCTTATTCATATGAAGCCACGGAAGCAATAGTAATGCTAACTTTTTTCACTGTTGTTGATCAAGCAAATGTTAGTAAGGCAATTAAACATACAAGAAATCAAAAAATCCAACATTTACATTGTAGGTGTTAGTGCCAACACCACAGTGGCATTTTAAAACCATATACAGTCATATATATCTTCATAGGATTACACATTGCAGAATGGCAAATATCACTTTAATTAGTCACACTCACCTGTTCACATTTAAGTGGTATATATTAAGATCTGTGAGCTGCAAAATGTGGATACTTGTACTAATTTTGGGGGCATATAAATTCACTTGCATTACTTCGTATTCAGAGTTAACTGAAAGAAGAAACCTGACCTCATTGAAACTGGTAGGAATGTTGCCACTAATTTAAACAGTCCAGATTTATCCCTTCTGCTAGGTATTTTCAAATTAAAGGCGTACAGTTTATAAAGAAAAAAAAAGCAATTCTCAATTATTATTTTTTATGAAACAGAGTTTCTCTTATAAATGAAGTGTAAGAAACCAATAGTGCTAACAGCAAGCCAAGGTAAGAGTTGGCACAGCCACTTGCTGTTTGCTCTTTAGTTAGGCCCTGCGTAATGGACAAAAAAACCCAGAATAATCGAGCCCACAAAGACAGAAAAATACCCAAAACTCTACCTCTTTTAAGTCAGATGTTGAAAGACTTTCAGTTCCTTCAGGAAACAACCATTCATCCCACTGACTAAGGGAACATCTTCCCAAGTCCTGGGCCATTTTCTCCTTGCCCATTCCTAAAGCCATCCTTCTTTACCTCAGAGTCAAGTGTCAATTCATCAGCCAACAGCCATTCCCTCCTCATCCTACCTGAGCAGGGCCACCTGCTTTCCTGACCAGGCCCATAGGCTTTGTGACAGGTGTTAGAACAACTTAAAAAGACATTTTCTGGACACACTTCACCTACAAGAGCAGAACATAATGCTGTTCATGAGAAAACATTACCTTTTCTGATAGAGCTTCTTCTAAGGTTGCTAGTGCTGTGTCTGTGTTACTAGAATCCGTCTGCAATGACTTCACTCTGTCTTTTAGATTAGTGAGTTGTTTGTCTTTGTCCCTAAGTTGCTCCTGCAGATTTTCAATCTGAAAATAAAAACAAATTATAATATTCATCAACCTTGTCTTAACATTCCAAGAGGAACATGGGTGCTGAGTGTATACACATCACATATATGATATATATGTCCCAGTTTACTGTCAAGTTTCTGCCTGCTATAATAGCAACTGCTTTTAACTTCTGTCCTTCCTTGTCTGTTTTCCTTTGCTAAACAAGTATCGCTTTCCAAGAAATTATAGGAAAATTCTCAGTGCATACTAATTATTTAAGTATTTTCTGATATTAATCACTTTATTTTAAGGTACTGCTTTATCCCAGTAATTCAAAGCATGTCTGGAATTACGCCTTTAGATTATTCTGGTTGCAATAAGAAGGACAAAGAAAGGGCAAGGCAAAGCAGGTTGAGTGAGCCTTAAACTGAGGAAGAAGATGATAACTGGTCTATCTAAAAACCTCTTCTTCCACAATTCCCTGCTGGAAAGAAAACTTGCCTGGACAAAGATCAGGATGTTTATACTTCAAAAAGCCAAACCAGAAACAAACAAACAAATAAAAAAAAAAACCCAAACAACTCAAAAGCCACTATTTCCATCACTTTCTTCATCTTCATGGAGATTTAAAGTATGCCACTCTATTTTGGATATTTTAACTGCTTTAATCAGATCTTGATCTTCCTGTAGAAAGTGTTTAAATGTATTGCTAAACCTTAAACAAGGTACCTATAAACACACTGGTTTGTCAAGCAGGTCATGATTTATAGTGGTTAAGTGAGAAGGGTTTTGCACAGAAAGTTTTCCACAGGACTATGTGATTTTTGGAAGCAAACCTGGATAAAAGCACTCAGTTTCTGATTGTCATGGCAATCACCTTCTATGGCTGTAAGGCACTACAAAATGCAGACAGGACATGTGTTATGTCAAATGTGCAAATTTCATTAATTGTCTGTCAGACTAATCAACCTCCCTTCAGCCTATGCTCTCAGTGCCACTCACTACTCTGCCGCTGGCACAAACCCAAGACTTGCCCCATAATACTTCACAGAAATAAATAGTAACAAGAGTTATCTAGATATTATTTTATTATGCCACTTTACATAATGAGAAAATACACCACAGTCCACAAAAGTATTTGTTCAAAACTGGTTTTAATATGCTGTCAAAATTAGACACAATTATTACTGTCAACAGAGATTCAAATTCTTACTTGCATCAGTGATTTTACACTTAGGATCACGTTCTCTTGCAAATGAAATGAAAGAAGCTTTGCTGTTCATTTCATAACATAGTGATGATTCTTTTTTCTCCTGGTCAAGACAATTTCCGTTTAAAGCAACCCAGATTTTACCAGCAGCCAGATCCTTTATAATTACTGTTACACTCTATTTAAAGTTTCCTTTACAAACCTGAAGCTGAATTCAATGCATATGAAGCTCCACAGTAGACAACAGTTATGTCAGAAAAAATTTGATCTCCATATGCCAAACTATACCATCATAATCATACACATTTTCATTTGGGGCACAGTTCAGTAAAAATTCTCCTCCTACTACATTATACATGTACAGGAAAAAAGCCTGAAGTTAAGTTTTGACATCATATATATCTATAATTACAAGCCATAAAATCCAAAGTACAGCTGTGTGCACTGTATAAAGTGTGTTTAAGTAAATTTACATTTTAAAAGAAATTAAAGGTAAAACAAAATTTGAAAGTAATTTGGAGGAGCCCATTCCAATTAGAAATTATTTCTAACAGTAAGGCAAAAACAAGTATTGTACCTTTTTTTACTTCCTTTCTTTTTTATATACAGAGTTTGGTACATCAGATTATTGCTATGAGCCAAAGGTTCCACTTGCTTCGTAAACTATAAAGTACTAAGGAATATATAAAAAGGATTTTTTGGGAAGACCTGACATAGAATAGCTCACTCTTGTAAACGACCTCTTGTAATATTTTTCTTCATGTGTATACTTTATACAGATACAGAAATATGATACATGTGTTAATGAGTTAAGAACTTTTTATTTTATGGCATGTGTATTAGTCACATCTAAAATTACATTAACTGGCATTCAGAGGACTGCACACTATGTTTCTTTCTTTACTTCATCCAAGTACTAATGATTCCAACAACTACCTCATGACACCCTGTGGAATCCTTCAGCAATTGCACATTTCAGCCTCACCAAAACAAATTCTCAAGTAAAAAGGAAATAAAACAGGAGAGTGAATACTGATTACATGTTCTTTGAAACAAAGTTAAGATCTGGTCCTTTATTATCATCAGCTTGACCTACCAATTCTAGGCACCCTAAATTAAAGTACTTATTTCCTATGCACAGTGCTTATCTGAATTCCACAGCATTTACACGATTTCCTTCCTCTTAAAACTAATTTAAAATATGATCCAACCCTTAACCAAGAAAACATGTTCTAAAATTATTCAGCATTTACAAAATTCTTTCCTCAGAGGTAAAGAGAACAGGCAGCAAATTAAAAACATCCCCATTGAATCACAACTGCTTTAAAATAAGTCATTCAATGCATAGTCCATAGATAAAATAAGAGGAAAGGATCTGATTATTCTTCTATTTGTGCTGTATAAACCTGAAAGAAAGACTTTGATGGGAACAGGACCACACTGGGGTATGTGAAAGTAGAATCAGTACCATAGAGTGTTTGTTTGTTGGGATGGGCACAGGATTAGCAAAGACCTGCTAATGCAGACAAGATTTTAATCAGAGTTCTCTCAAAAAATTACAGAAAACAATGAAATTGAGAAACCTCACATACTAAAACCTTAGAACACTAGATATGATTTAGTTCTTCCAGGATTTTTTAAACCCAGAAAGAACAAAAAACAAACCCTCTGGTAACCTCTGACATTGTCCAAAACATATATATTTGGGTAGAGGCATATATGTAAGGATACAATTCGATTGTTGAACAATGATTTTTGAGCATGCCTGAATTCAATTTATGACAGGGACTGTTAAGACTTCCTTAATCCTCAAGCACTTATATATTTTTCCAATAGGAAGTTAGTTACTGTGAAGTTTTGTCAACACATATTTTTCTTGCCTCTGTAAACTTCTATGTCCTTGCGCCATGATGAAAAGAAACTACTCCTTTATTTCTGTATTTCAGAAAGTATGTATATTCCCAGAGCTTAAACCACACTTTACTCGTCTCTTAAAACAATGCCCTTACAGATAAATGTCTTTCCTATGAGGCATCCTGTCAATAAACCTCAAGTGCTAATCTTGTCACCTTTTGGCGACAGTCTCAGGAATGCTTATTAAATACTCAAGGGATTAAATTAAATCTCACCCGCAGACAGGCTTTAACCCAAGTTCTCAAAAGAAAATTCCTTTCATTATCAAAATTAGGGTACTGTACTCTGGAACTTGCAAAAAAATAATATAATCACATAAAATGTTGCATGCTATAACAGTTTGCCTTCAGAGATATATATTAAAGCATAAGATAGTTTAAGATCCTGTAAGAAAGAACGTACCCAAGACTTCTCAGGCCTAGCTAGTGAAAGCATAATGCTGTATATTTAAACTTAGCTGTGTGTATTGTCCTCTCTGCTCTGTATTTGAGTTTTAAATATGTATGACAAGTATTTTGTTACACTTTTTTAATCCTAAAATTCATTTTGATCTATCCTACATTTCTCTAGGCAGAAGCCTTTGAGATTTGTTTCATATTAAAACATAGGTCATGTCTGTTCCATTGAACTAGAATCTTAGAATCATAGAATTTTAGGGGTTGGAATGGACCTTACAGATCATCTAGCCCCAACCCCC